GAACACTGTTGTACCGAAGACAGTGCCGGAGGACATAGAGAATTGGTGGACGAGGAGGTAGGTAAGGTAGACGAGGCAGAAGATAGATTGTTAGACATACACAATAATGTCTTAGTAAATAGTACTAGTATTATGGTCTGTATTTTATTTTGACAGTTTTGCTACTATATTGATTTCGATTGTATGATTTTTCGACATTTATTGATATTTTATTTATGCATGACATTTTTTAATCATCTGAAATTATGTACGTAATTTTTAATTTTCGATTGTATGATATAATTTAAATCTCCATTTGAATAGAGATAAACAAAATATAATATGAAAAACCAAATTTTCATACATCACATAGATGTATCTCCGAAATATTCATGGAGATGCATCTCTGGTCCAATTCAAATATATAATGACATTTGAGTGAAATATATTAAATATTTTAAATTATTCTAAAAATATATTTCTTAAATATTTCAACATTCATGCAGAATTTAATACGTTCGAAAATATATCTCAAAAAATAAAAAAAATATTTAAATAATTTTATGTAATAATTAAAAAATATTAAAGGTACATTAAAAAATCATGATGCTTCCGATGACGGATTATAGAAAATAAACATATGAAGTCTCGAAGTTAATACTAAATAACTAATAAAAAAGTGGCATCAGATTCCTTTTTATTTAAATATTTTTTACATATAAAAAGAGTCAAAAGGATTCTAGGAGAGAACTCAATTTTTACCATTAATTAATTAATTAAAAATAAATAAAATAATCCCTTTGTGTTGTACCATGTATGTAGTTGCTTACGCAAAGTAATTGACGTGCACGAATTGTCCAGCGTGGCTTTTGCCTGTCGAGTAGTAAAACAGATTTTGGTATCCAAATTCTAATCTTACTACTTACCAGTACAACATTGAATTCATCCTCGAATCAATATCATATACCGTAACAATGTGTCACTAATCTCAATCTCATGGCCGCCACTGATTTTGGTTCCATCCCTTTCTTCTGTAAACACATTTTTTCTTCTTTTTCTCCTTATCAACAAACAACCCGCCACTCACACTATTCTTTTTCCTCAACTTACTTCCCCAAACCTCTGCTCTCTCATCACCATCACCATAACCACCTCACTATGCCACCTGTCGTTATTAACGGTAAACAAACCGTCGACGTCGACGATTCTTCTTCTTCTTGTTGTTCTTCCGTCACCGTTAAACCTCCGTCACTCCATGATTATCACAGTTTCGATCAACAACTCCTCGATAACATCGCTTACGATGCTCTCGTTTGGGCTTCTCTTCACGGCCTCCTCATGGGCGATAAATCTTCCAAGGTTTATCAATCGAATTTGCATTTTCTGCTTGAGATTATTTCGATGCTGAATTAATTAGGTTTTTGAAGGAAGGTTTGATGTAATTGTTTCGATTTTACAGAATTCAGGAACTGTTCCTGGTGTTGGATTGGTTCATGCTCCATTTGCGTTATTGCCGGTGTTATTGCCAGAAAGCAAATTTAAACAAGCTTGTGATTTAGCACCTATATTCAATGAACTTGTTGATCGTGTTAGTTTGGATGCTAACTTTCTTCAGGAGTCTCTCTCCAGGTCCATTACCGTTGTTTTACAATTTTAACAAATAGAAATTCTAGATGAGTCACGAGTCACGGACTTGGTCACTCTATTGTATTGTTAAAAATTGTGCAAGGACAGACTTGCTCGCACAATTTTGGGCACAGTTAATTTTATTCTTAGAATATTTTTCAATTTCAGCTTTCAATTGTGATGAATTTTTTGTCATTTTTTTAAATTTCAATCTAGGACTAAGAAAGTGGACGAATTTACCTCTAGACTTTTAGATATTCATTCCAAGATGCTACACCTCAACAAAAAAGAGGTTAGAATATTGCTGGATTTCAGTGGAATTATTTTAGTACATGATGACGAATGCTATATATTTAATTTTCTTTTTGGATGAAGTCAACAAAAGGAGTTTATTGATATTATTTTTACTGTTGCATTAATTTGATTTAATAGGAAATACGGTTGGGATTGCACCGTTCGGATTATATGCTTGATGAACAGACAAAATCACTCTTGCAAATAGAGCTCAACACTATTTCATCTTCATTTGCTGGTTTTGGTAGTATTGTTACCGAGCTTCATAGGTAAAGTTTTGCTCTAACTCAATTTATGCATTCTCTGATTTTCTCACAGTTTCTCTGGTTTCTTTATTTCAGACCCAATTGTTTCTTAATATATTAGTTTGTGATTATTTTTCAGGTACATACTTTCCCATCATGGGAAATTGCTTGGTCTGGATGCAGAAAAGGTTCCTGTCAATAATGCTGCCAGTCAGAATGCAGAGGGCTTGGCTAAAGCTTGGATTGAGTATAATAACCCCAAGTAAGATTCTAAAAACAAATTTTCTTTGCAGTGCGCTTTGTTCTACTTCTACTTTTGGTTCCCTATATTTCTGAACGGTTGAATCCCTACAGGGCTGTGATTATGTTTGTGGTTCAGGCTGAAGAGCGAAACATGTATGATCAGCATTCTCTTTCTGCAGTTTTAAAAGAAAAATATCCTTTTCTCCATACTCATAGTAGTAATAATAATTGTAATGCATGATACAAAAGAAAAAATGTTCAATTTCATCTATCTAATTTGTGCAAAATAGAAGTTTTTCATATAAGGAAAATGACTAGTTTTATATTCGGAACCTATTATGGTTATTAGAGCTGTTGTCCTGAACTTTAAACACGCATGGTATTACAATTGTTCGCAAAACGCTGGCAGAAGTTGATCAAGAAGGAAAAATTCTACCAGATGGAACACTTACTGTGTATGTAGCCTTTACATATCAAAAAACTGACTTTCTGATAAGTTTGTGGCTTACTCACTCTTTGTTTCTGACTGGTGAATTATTTTTTTACTGTAGTAATGGACAAGCAGTTGCAGTCGTGTACTTCAGGGCTGGCTATACACCAGCTGATTATCCTTCAGAATCAGTAAGTGATCAGTTTGTTTTTTTGCTGCTCATTCATAAGTAATATTGTCGTTGATTGATCTATACATCATGGGTTTTGGATGACTTCACCATGTAGAGACTTTAGCATTATACGTTTTCTACTGTTAGCTTATCCTTTTAAAAGTAACAAGATCTAATTTACTATTACCTCAATATATCTATTCAATGGATTATCCTCTCTACCATAACTTTGTTTCTTGATATAGCATGTAATGTTAGTGAGCCTTCTATCCTCATGACAATGAATTCTCACTTCTCCTGGTTTGGGCATGACTTTGTCAATATGTAGGAATGGCAAGCTAGGCTACTGATTGAACAATCTTCTGCTGTCAAATGTCCTTCAATATCTTATCATTTGGTTGGCACCAAGAAGATTCAACAGGAGCTTGCAAAGCCCGGCGTTCTTGAGAGGTATCTTCTAATTATTATATGCCATTGCTTCCTTGTTTATTTCATTTTTATGTTTTGAAAACAGTTTTTTCAATTCAAAGAGACTACAATTAAAAGAGAAGTTGATAAATGTGAGCAAATTATCATGTGGAGTAAGATCGTCTTCATCTGTATCTTTGGTTCAGCAATACGTGCCTTACTTATTTTATTAATTATGAAATTGCTTGGTGAAAATGTGTCTGCAACCTGCGACATTTTTCTGTTATGTATTTCGTTGATGGTCTGGAACCTAATTCAGTTTGGTGGGATCCTAATATCCTATGCTTTTCCATTTTGAAAATATGTCTGCAACCTGCGATGTTTTTCTGTTATGTATTTGGTTAAGAATGCATCGTCAATGGTCTGGAAATTGGGGATCCTTACAACTTTGCCAATAAACAGTAGGTTTAGAATAGTGAGGGCTTTTATCTCAGTGAAAAAGAATAGATTGATTTGTTTTTTGTAGCCGATCTTCTCTTAAATTCTTGAACCTTAACTGTAAGCAGGTTCCTTGAAAACAAAGGCGATATTGCAAAAATGCGTGAATGTTTTGCTGGACTGTGGAGTTTGGATGACTCGGATATTGTTAAAAAAGCAATTGAAAAACCCAAGATATTTGTGATGAAGCCTCAGAGAGAAGGAGGAGGTTATATATACACCAACTAAAGCTTGATTTAACTTTCTCCCCTCCTACTTTGTTGAAAAATATATTGAGTGAGCTGTAATTATCTTTCAGGAAACAATATTTACGGGGATGCTGTGAGGGAAACCCTCATAAAACTTCAAAATTTAGGTTCTCAAGAAGATGCAGCTTACATACTTATGCAGAGGATATTTCCAAATCTTTCTGCAGCACTTTTGATGCGCAATGGTTGTTTGCACAAGGACCATGCAATCTCAGAACTTGGAATATTTGGTACATATTTAAGGTAATCTCTTGGCTACCTACATACTATATCTTCATAGTTCAATGCATAAATTTGTGTAATGCTTAACATCCCTGGACCTGAATTTGCAGGAATAAGGATAAGGTTATCATTAATGATCAAAGCGGCTATTTGATGCGTACAAAAATAGCATCATCCGACGAAGGCGGAGTCGCTGCTGGTTTTGCAGTATTAGATAGTGTATACCTCTCTTGATGTCGCCAACCTCTAACTTATTAGGGTTTAACAAAACAGTGTTTACATATATTATCATTCAAGTCACCTATTTATTTGTATCTGTCTGCCTCCGCAAAGATCGAAAGGCAGCCACATTGTTTCTTTTGTTTTATCCCATGGTGTGTTGTATAATTCATCTTATAATAATAATGTTAATGCCTACTTGTTTGATTCATGTTGTGACCTTACTCTAATAATAAGGATAATAAAAAGAATAGAAAGAAATATATTGCTTATAACCAACGTGTGATGTAAAAAATTTATATTAACCTTGCTGTTAAGTCAAATGCAGCAAAATGTTCTAATTTAATATTAAGGCGCGGAAAAATGTCCGGGTTAAATAATCACAATAGGGGTAATAAGAAAATGATAGTTAGTAATTAACTTCTTAAGGGTGTCCTTTTCTTATCCTTCCACCCATAATCACGGGTTCGATTTTCCCACAATGCTGTCAACTTATGTTCTTCGACAAACTCTGCCTCAGCTCTCTCCCTTGCTTGTTCACAAGTTTCCATCCCTATATTGCACTTTTGTGCTTCTTTTATATATTGTGAAAAGGTATTTCTGGCATTCATTACTAATCTTCTGGTGTGTTCCAAGGTCTCATTGGCTACAATTTTCTGCAACTTCAATTCCTCAGATAGCATTGTCAGTGTATCCTCGTTTATTACTGGATCATGTTTCCCACAATCTGCACATACAGTAAGAGAATTCCGTTATGATGTTAGGTCCAAAAGAAAACATGGTTGAGAAACACACGAAATAATGAGTAACACTTAGCAGAAGTATTCAAGTTTATTATCAATTTTATCATCCATGTAAGACTAGCAAAATCAAGATTGTTTCTCTTTCTATAGTAAATACCAGTGTTGTCAAATTGCGGCCATGGCGGCACCGTGGTGGATTGCGGATTTTGTATTGTGGTGCCACAGTTATAATTCTTTTGAGCTGTTTGCAGATTGGGTAAAAAAAAATTACCCAGACAAGAATTTTAAAATTTTAGTTTCCCCACATACAATTCTGTTGTCCAATTCCATTCTGCCATGAGTCATATTTTTATGAAGGATTTTTGATTTGCCTTAATTTTTCACAGTTTGCCATAGATACTTAGCAGAAGCATTCAAGTTTATTATGAATTATAGCATCCATGTAAGACTAGTAAAATGAAGATAGTTTGTTTGCATAGTAAATGAAAAGTGAAACTAACCGAGAGGAGGATATTGTGTTGAAGAGCAGTAACAATCATGACATTGAGGAGGACAAGAAAAATCCTTGAAACGCCACAGTGCCGATGGTCCAATTGCGAATACAAGGTAACAACACACACTCATCCAAACCAAAACACCGCAAGGGTATTGCATTTTCTCTTTAGGCTTGTGTTGTTTTCTCTCCTTTTAGTGTGAGTGCTACACAAACTCTACTTTTGTCTTTCAAGAAAATTGAAACAAGAGAAAAAATGGTGAAGAAAGTTGCTTTAATAATTGACAATTTGTTAAAACAACGGCAATCTTGACGTTTTCAAATGGTTACCCAGGGCCGGCACAAATGTGACGCTGCTAGGATTTTACAATTGTGTTTTTGAATTTAAAATATTTTTTCCGTTAACTATTTACAAGGAAAAAACTAATTTAAAATCTAGGTTTTTTATTATACACACAACTTTTAAACTATTTAATGTTAGTGGTATTAATATACCCTTCATTTAATCTAAAAAATATTCAATGGAATAATTAATTCTAGTAAATTTTACTTGTGTCTATATGAAATTTAAAAAATTAGTTATTGTTTTTAATTAACTTTATTTTATTAATGTAAAATTGTTTTTTCTTTCTTATAAGAATAATTGGAGATAGGAATAAATTTTTTCTACTTTTGATCATTCTATTTTGATTTTTTTTAACTTTTAATCTTTTATTTTGAAACTTCGTTTTTTTATCCCTCAAATTTATATCCCTTGAGATTTGATTGGTCTCTCTCTTTAGTTTATATATATATATATATATATATATATATATATATATATATATATATATATATATATATATATATATATATATATATATATATATATATATATATATATATATATATATATATATATATATATATATATATATGATCTGACCTGATCAGAAGGGGATCACTAGCTGGCCACACTCTGTTAGACTGCTGTCTGTTCATCGGTGATGAGGAGGATGACCACACTCTGTTAGACTGCTGCCTGTTCACCGGTGATGAGTAGGAGGAGGGGGTGTACTTGCAAGGCACTCCGATGCCAAAGTAAGTATATGGGCAGAGTGGTCACAAGCACCGAAAAATGGGTAAGAAGTGAATTACCTGACCGTCTTGTGGAAGAGGGTATTTATAGAGAGACCCCAGTGCTGGGCCAACGGTCACTTGTGTTGGGCTGGATTGCCAGACCCAACCCAATGACTGTTAGGGCTTATGTGGCGTAGTGAAGACCAGAACGTGGTCTTCGCCCTAGTTCAACTGTCCCGTGATCTCCGGAAAGTGGGTTTGACCTGCTCTTTCGGAGGTGGGCAGTTGGTTAGTGACATGTCCCCGCGGAAGGGAGCACGTGTGAAGGACACGTTGTTCTGCCCCTCGAGGGAGCACGTTTTGCCCGCGGAGGGAAGAAGGTTCTGCCCGACAGGGCAGTGTTTGGCCGGTGGGCATCCTCCTGCTCGACGTGGTTGGGGTAGGACCTTCTCGCGGGGAGACGTATCCTGCTCGTCGGGGACCCTATGTCCGACGTTGTGGTCCAAGGTGGACTGGGCTTGGTGGAATACTATTGGGCTGGGCCCGCGTGGCCAGACCGGGGCCCAGGCCAGGACAATATATAACACAACAATGATGATTAAGATGATTTATTATTTAATATTTTTTTATAATTAATTAATTATTTTTACATAATAAATTAATTATTTAAAAATTAATTAACAAAAATTTATGGGCCTTAGGCAAGTGACTTCAACATATTTCTAATCGAGAAGAACTTAACATGTGTAGTTTTGAGCTGTATAAAGATTATATATTATTTTTTTGTGAAATTAAATTTAGAAGTTTTAACTGTAACTATCTGTTTTGTTGTCTTTCATGTGTAAATTCTCAAATTCTCAACTCAACTGCATTCATAATCATAATGTAGATCTCAACGGATAATAAGCAATAGGATCTTGTAATAGAGGAAGTGGTAGGTTGAAAACAACTTATTTGGATCAAACTGAAGTACATGCAGGGTATAAAGTAAGTCAATGTGGCTTTGTCCTAAATACTTTTGAGAATTTTTTTTTCCATCTTAAATGTTTGTTATGAACTATGTGAATTTCCACTTATTTCTCTAAAAATTATAATCCACCCATCATGAGTAAACATGAAAATATTTATCATCAGATAGAGCCTTAAACAAACTTTTCAACGTATTCTATCGCGTCTTATTTCAAGTTACGAAACTCAAAATATGTTATTTTCAATACTGCTAAAGTTTTCATGATAGCACGTCTCGCTAAGTAAAAATGCAGGATATAACACCAAAATCTCATCTTTAGACCTACCCTCTTCAACCTTTAACTATCCAAACCATACAAAATCATGTCCTAACATACTCAAGCATTTATATCATGAAATTAAGGTTATTCTAATGTATTTGGCCTCATGTTAATCGAATCTATGATTCTCGTTTTATGATGGAAACAAGAAACAAAACAACTTTTTAAAACATGGCACTCTCGCTTAGCGAACCTCCAAGTGAGCTCTCGTCTAACAAGCTCCAAACGAAAGTCTCGGTCAGACAAAACAAAATGTCTCAAAGTCTCAAAATCATCTCAGCTTAATGTTTCAAAGTCTCAAAATCATCTCAGTTTAATGATTAATTTTGACATTCTATAATATAAACATATATTATTGAAAATCAAACAATAGTCGAAATCGCAATTTTTTCAAAAAGTTATATCTCAAAAATGAGTTTTTATGAAAAACTATGTAAAATAGCTTCAAAATTAAATGATATTTTAAAATTTTGATATTCAAAAATATTTTTAATAAAATGATAAAATATTTAAAATAATATTTTAAAAATAATTATTCAAATGAAATTTTTATTTAAAATTTTTTAAGAAATTTATAACTTTTTTGGATAAAATTATATTAAGATATAAAAATCTTTTGTAAAAAAACAAAATAGTCAAACCTTTAATTGCTTACCCAGCTTCGGAAAAAATAAAATTCAATTCCGTACTAGATATAATAACGGTCAACAAATTTATGTCCTTTTTATAATGTTATATATTTATCAAATAATATATAGTTATATACTACTTCGGTCTCAAAATTATGTATGACTTTAATGTTTTTTATAATTACAGAGAGAGAAATTAAAAAAAGTTGAATGAACTTCTATTTTTTTATATAAAAGATAATTTTTTAAAAATTTATTAAATAATTAATATATATAATTAATTTATAAATTAAATATATTGATTATTTAATAAATCTAAAAAATTAATTGTCTCTTTCATAAATAAATAAATATATTAAAAAAATATCGTTAATATTATATTAAAAATATAAAATAAATTATAATTTAAAATTAATTTTTTGACAAAATAACTTATAATTTTATAATCGAAGGAATATATATTATTGTGTCGTAGTACAATTGTATTATCAATTGTTTATTGATTAAATTGCATCTAGAATATAACTTTCCAAAAATAACTTTTGAGCATAACAAAATCGACAATTTCAAAATTCATAATGACGGAGAGAAAGACTTGAGGTGTAATCAACAAAACCCTTAAGAAATGGGAGGCAATATGCGATTTCTATAATTGAAAAAATGGGAGGCAATATTATAATCAAAACTAATTTTGTTACACCCTTGTTTTGATTTTGTTCTTTAGCTTATAGTAAAAAAAAATAAAAATTAACGACAGATAAAATAAATATGCAAAAATGAAATATAGTATTTCTTTTTTAAGTTATTTTCAATTATTTAATTGCTACTTTTTAAAATTAATAAATAATTTAATTTAATTAAATTTAATCATTTAAGAAACAATTAGATAAAGCGTGAATAGAAGTGGAAATAGACTGCGTCAAAAGTAGACTTTGCTAAACTTAAATTTAATTTGTAAAAAAAATAAAGTCTAAGTCTGACCTGTAGTCTGATATAAATTTTTTAAGTCTGAGTTTGACTTTTTTTGAACGTCTATTATAAAATTTTTTTATTGATTTATTTTAACTTATCTATTAGTACAAATTTTATGAGACTATTCGTTTAAGAGAAATTATAAAAATAACTTATGATATTTTTTATAAGATTTTTTCACCTGATTTTCATAAATTTTTTAAAATAACTAAATTTTATTTATGTATTTTAGTTCAAAATATAATAATAATAATAATAATAATAATAATAATAATAATAATAATAATAATAATAATAATATATTATTATTATTATTATTATTATTAATATTTATTTAAATATTACGATTTGATAAATTAAAAAAAAAAATTCTAGTCTGAAGCGTGATTTTTTTAACTAAATAATAAACTTATAAAAAATTTAAATATTTTTTATTGAAAAAAGTATAATCAAATCTGAAACTAAATGTCAATTAGGTTATCCTATTTTCACTCCAAGTGTGAGTCCGAATTGATCCACATGTAAATATTTACTGAAAAATCACGACATTTTTGTATTCAAATAAAATAATATTCATTTGCATTTAAAGAACAACAACGACTTATTAAAAATAAGAAAAATACAATAATATTTATTTACAATTAAAAAACAATAATGACTTACTGAAAATAAAAATAAGAGAAAAAGAATAATGTGAAACAGTTAATTTTCTATTTACGAGTTTTAAAGTTTTTATTCATATATTTATTTATTTATATCACAGATCTATTTTTTTTGTTTTTATAAATTATATCTTCTTTTTTTTGCTTATAAATAAATTAATATGATATCTATTTTTAATGATAATTTATATGAAATGCTATTTATTAATATTATCTCTATATTTTTGTCTTATAAATTAATATGATCTCTAACGAGGAAATAATTATGTTTAATAGAATAAACTATTAATTGTTTTTAGTGTACATGTGACCTAAACCATATTTATTTATTTATTTTATACTCAATCCACTTTAATAAAAAAAATTGTACGTTATTTTATATTATTTAATTATCATAATTTTTTAATAACGTCTAAACGCGCACTTACATGTCTTTCTGTCCATTTTCTCTAATACAGACCCGTATATAACATAAATCATATTATATTTTTATTTAACTTTAATTTTATTTTAAATTATTCACAAACTGTTTATAACTGCAGTTGCAAAAAAAAAGTTAAAATTTAAAATAAAAACTTAAACAATATATTTGAAAGAAAAAAAAAACTACACCGAATATATGTTTTGTCCTTAAGTATAGATTAAACTAATAAATAATCAATTTTAACTTATTTGAACCAATAAAGATTTTAACTTATTCATTTAAGAATCAATAAAGACTTTAACTTATTCATTTAAGAACCAATAAAGATTTTAACTTATTCATTTAAGAATCAATAAAGATTTTAACTTATTCATTTAAGAATCTATAACGAGCAAATAGTATATAACAAATATAATATCCTGCAGTGACTAACGTGCTCTTTCATAAATCTTCCAAATAAACCAAACCAAAACAAAAAATAGGTTGAAATTTTTAATAAAAATAGACTACAGAACTAATTTAGTTACACCCTTGTTTAGATTTTCTTATTTAGCTTGTAACCAAAAAAACTAAAATTAAGTACAGACAAAATAAATAGGCAAAAACAAAATACAGTAAAATACTATATTAGTATAAAATTATCATTGATGATTATATTGTTGGAATATGTCTAATAAATCGAGAAAGATCATTTCTATCGTATTCATATTTGAGGAAGCCTTAACACAATGGAGTGAACGTAGTTACTATTGTAGTACATTGTGTGATTAGAAGATGAAAATGAACAAGTTAAAACAATCACCTGCAAACATAAAATAGAACTGCCTTCAATAGACTTGAGACCTCCAATTGAATGTCAATTTAATCATGATGAATGAGCTGATTAGTAGTGCTAACTAACAAGTAACAACCCTATTATCACTATATATCTGCTAACTTCCAATAAAAGAAAACAATCAAAGAAAGAAAGAACAGCCTATTGTGTACTACACGCACTCAAAGAATTCTTTATCTTCAGTGTCCACAACCTCGTCGTCAGAATCAGGAAGGAGATCGAAAAATGCTTCGAGGTAGCGGAGGCTTTGATCATTTGAGGGACTCTTGTGGCCATTGGCTCGCCATTTCTGATCTGCTATCATTTCAGGAGAGAGCCCCCATTCATGCAGTTCTTCTTCTGTATGATGAACTGCCAAGCTATACTCTCCACCGCTCCCCAACTGCATCACGCGGAACTCACTATTTTCAAAATTGTTGAGAAGTTCAAATTGTTCAACTGTCCACCGAAACCACCTCATAAGGAAAACTCGAGAAGCCACCCCATGTGACACAATTATAAGATTCAAATCGTTCGAAGGGTTATGATTAAGCCTGTTCATGTCAATGTCCCTCCATAGAGATTCAAGAAAACCTGCAAACAAGTCATCTCCAAATTAACACCACCTAATCCCTATGCATCACATCTGTTTAAACTTGAGATTAATACCTACATGACAAATAAAACTGCAACAGAATCCAGTAAAATTTATCAAAAATCAATAATGGTTGCAGTGATGGAAGCATCCTTGGAGCGGAGAAAAGTCAAGGCACCCCTCAAAAGAAGCAGGTTGTTTTTATATAATGCTACCCATCATGACCATGTCTACTCATTTCCTTCATGCCACAATTTTCTTCTGCCTGCAAATAATGGAACCTCCGTCACTGAATGGAAAAAGGCTTCAGTTGAGAAGCTCTCCTTGTGCGTCTCTCCATTCCTTCCCGACATCGTTTTTCTCTCTCGGAACATCCGCCACTAACTGTGATTTTAGCTTTTCTTTTTCTTCATAGATGGTTCTGAATTTGGTTTCTAATGGGAGAGGTTGAGCACAAAATTAGGTTTCTTTCTAATTGTAAACTGCAAACCCTAAGCGCGGCTCAAATCATGAACCCTAAGAGTTCCTAATTCTTCTTGGTTTGGAATTTTCTCTTGCAGATTCTTCGTCACTCTATCGTTTCTTTTGTGAATTGCTAGCCAAATTGATCTGTATGTTCCTCGTTATTCTTTAATTTTGTAAATAGTCACAATGACACTTAAAGAGCTTCCTTCCGATGATTAAATAGTTCAACTGGAAGAGCAGCCTTAACAAATACCAATAGTCACAATGGAAGAATTTGAATTGACAAAATTATATACGACTTATGAATTTCAATCATAAGATATTAGTTAGTACTTGCCGCTTCCCTTAACATCTCGGGCAAGATCCGCCACTGAATGGTTGTTGGATAAGTTGAAAGCTGTCATCTAGCCCAGAGTCAATAACCACCAACTCATTCTCTTAACAATTTTAGCTAAAAAGTTTTATTTGTATGTTGTTTTCCTCGGTTTAAACATAATCTACATCATAATAAATCTTATTTCAGTAGCTTCTGAATTTTAGTCTGATAGAACCCATTAAATCCAGGTAACAAAATTATATTTTATTGAACAGTAAAGGTGAGCTCGAGAACCCTACAATGGTGGAAATGGAAAATGAAAGGGTAAACCATAGTTCAAGAGCTCCTAACAAACTCTAACAATATTTCTGAATCCTTTCCTCACCCGTCTGGCCCTAATCATATAGACATTCACTCATAACGGAATTGAGTGGCTCAAATGTCATGTCAGCAACTAACATCCCTATTTACACAGTAAATAACGTGATTGAATAATTCATTGAATGGTTGAGAAAAAAATGAAATTGTTTTTTCCCATATGGCGTAATGCTCAAACCATGAAGCCTCTGAAAGCTATAAACAGATATTCAAAACCTAAGAAAGTATTTTCATTCAACGCAATTTCACCTTTCAATACAGACAGACAATACATGCATTTACCATCAAATGAGACTCTACTTTGTTTCATGCTACAGCTGGATAGATATGATATGACAGATCGATCTTGCTTACTGACCTCCTAACTCCATTGTTGCTCAATGTACAAATATCACATAACATACGAGTAAGTATTACAAAACAATTATAAACATTCTTCATGATATTGTTTATAAGTTGTTTTCAGTTAATTCTCATAAAATCCCAAAACAGCTTAGACGGTTACAGAGCTTATGCTCACAATTTCTATTCAACTATCAATAGCATAAAAGACTTATACATAAGCTATTTCTATATGATAAGAACTTGTATGTTTAAGTTTATTAGTTTAATTGAGATGTTTCCATGAGTATGATACATATACGATTGTTTTATTCAAGTTAGTCACAAACATTACTATTTAAGTTCTATCATATTCATAAATTATTTTCACCTCTTATTCATAAGCTCTAGATGATAGCTTGTGAAAACAACTTATAGCATATATGAACATAATATAACTTCATTTTATCTAGTTATAGAAATGACTTAAACAGAAAAGCACTTATATGATTAGCATGTATGCTAAAATAGGCTAAATCACGCACTCTATCTAAAAAAGTAAGTGTATGTCCTACGGGACGGATTAATCGATTAATGCAACAAATATAACACCTACCTAATTAATTAGGTCAATAACTGAATTGAATTGAAGTAAAAGTAAGAGATGAAAAGCGTTACGTACTCGAAACACGATCGAAAACGTCGGCGGCGGATTCTCCCTCCGGAAACCGATAAAAGAATCTCCCAAACCGCTGCCGCGTCTCCTTAATCGCGTTCATCCGTTCCTGAACCTGAAAATTCCCGAAATCCTGTTCACGAATGCGACACTCTTCTCTCACACCAATAACACGCTTCTTGGAGAAAGATCGAGCGAGTTCAAGGAGAGTAGATTGAGTGCGAGCATACGGCGAGGCGTAGAAGAAAACACGCCAATCAGGGGAAGAAGATGAAGAAGCGATGACGTGGCGGATTTTGGAACCGACGAGACGCGCTTGCGCGACGCCTTGTGGTGTTAACGGGATCTTGTGGTCCGGTGTTACTGTGTAGGCGCCGGGATCTAAGTTTCCTTGTGATTCACCGTGACGGACCACTATTATTCTCTTTGGAAGTACTCCTTTGTCGTGCATTGCAAATTGGAACTGGTTGGGTTGGTTATTGTTATGATATTCGTAAGTCGCAAATTCTTTACTGGGGTTCATGCTTTCTCTTTTCTATTCTCTTCTTTCTCTTAAGTCTCTTACTCTTTTCTTTTTTTTTAAAGATATATTTGAATGTTTTTTTTTATTTTAATATTAAAAATAATTATATTTAAATAAAAATGAATTAGTTTAATAAATTTTGTTAATGGATCTTAGACTAATATGGTTTAGTATTTATATTATGATCGTATCTGACCAGAAAGATCGATGAGATGCCACGCGACTGAGCTGTCGAATGGTTGACTTGACGGGAGTGTTCCTGAAACACACTCTGATCCAAAGTAAGTGACGAGCAAAGTGATAAAAAGTGCAGAGAGAGTGAGAAAGTTAAGTTACCTGACTCTCTAGTGGAAGAGGGTATTTATAATGAGCCCCAGCGACGGCCAACGGTTACCTTACATTAGACTGGGTTGCCAAACCCAACGTTAGTAACTACTAGGGCTGATGTTGCGTCGCGAATACCAGCACGTGGTCTTTGCACTAGGGTAACTGTTTTGCGCTACCCGAGAGGTGGAAGACCGAATCTCCAGGACGTGGGTAGTTACTTGATGACGTGTCCCTGCGCGGGGGACACGTAGAGAACGTGGGAGAAGTCTGAGGAGCTCCCCGGACAAGCTGGGCTTTGCCCGACGACGGGGAGAGAAAGAGGCTGGCCGGACAGCTACGAGGGTCCTGCCCCGACGGCTGTTGGCTTGTGCCCGACGGGGGAAGATGTTGTGTCCGACAGATCTTCTGCCCATACGTGAGGTCCTATTGGCCCCAAATCCAGTGGGATTTGGGTCTGCTCGATTGTGGGTTAAACGTCGGTCCAGTCCAGAACAGTAGCCCCCCAAGTCGTTGTTCGCGGTCAAGCGAGCTATAACTTAAGCAGCGAAAGGCGTCGGGGCGTCGCTCTGTCGGGCAGGCTGTGGCCGTGTCGGCCAGGTGAACCTATAACGAGGGAGAACCCGCGGTCGAGGGGGAAAACTTGAAGAGACGCAATGAAGGTGGAGGGTTGCCACGTGTCTTCCTGTGGCAGTTACGGGCTAGGTACTTGAGTGCCTAGCGACGCTTCGTTTCCCGTGCTAAGAATATATATATATATATATATATATATATATATATATATATATATATATATATATATATATATATATATATATATATATATATATATATATATATATATATATATATATATATATATATATATATATATATATATATATATATATGGATCTAGCTCGTCTTTTTGCTCATTCGTTTCTTTTGTAGTTGCCCAACATCCAGAGATATCTGCTCGGCGTCCTTGATTGCTTCTGCTCGACCTCCGCAATTTTTCAGCCCGACGCGACATCTTTTTCCGCCACCGTATCAAGTAAGTTCTTGCTTCCTTCTGGTGTTTTAGCGTTTCCGGCGTCTCCGCTGGGGGCGCCGAGATGACCGTGGGCTTTTCCGGTGAATACGGCGGAGGGTCTTCAAAAATTAGGGTCGTAAATGGCTGTCCCCTACCCTTACGATGAGTGGTCCGGGGAGGATTGATAGGACTTTGAATGTCCCGAGGTTAATTGATGAATGCCCCGGGCACGAGTTAATGTGTGCGTCGAGGACAGAGAGTGTACTCCCTGGGCACCTCGGGAGTCAAGGCTACCCCCAACTCGTCTTCTGGACGTCTAGGCGACCACGCCCTTTCACTTGAACTGTGGTGGAAGGGTGGATTTGATTTGACTGTCGAATTCACCAAGTTCCTCTGCTTTTCAGGTAAAATGGCCGACCACGACGAAGAGGAAGTGCATTGGTACCTGTTCGAGGACGAGGAAGGTCACCAGGACGAGGCCGACATAAATCCCCCGGAGAGACCGTTAGAGGAATGGGTCGGGGAAGAGCCTTTAAAATACATGTCGAGGTTCGTCCTCGACGACTCCGATGTGTTCGCTGTGATCGAAGATAGGGTGGCGGGGAGTCTCCATCAGTTTTGAGCTTGCCATCCACGAGAGTTGGATCGCATATGCTCACGGTACGACGGTGGTCGGTTCCCGATGTATGAGTTCGCCTTTAAGGAGGTTGGGATGCGCATGCCCTTCACGGGATTCCAGCAGGGCGTGTTCGACCATCTGATATTGGCACCGTCCCAACTCTATCTAAACTCTCTCGCCTTCATCTGGGAATTTGAAATCGTCTGCGACTATCTTGAGCTCGGGGCCACCATCCCGTTGTTCTTCTGCATCTTTCATCTACAACGTTAGACGGTGGCTGGTCGTCATAACTGGCTCAGTACAAGGGTTCAAAGACAGATGGTTTGTGGTCATGCTAGTGACGGACGAGGCATACAACACCATGTTCCGGCGAGAGGTGATAGTCGTGGATGGGCGATTCGAGGATAGCTATGAGTCCAACTTCTGCTTGGATTGGGCAGACCTGCATTTTCGTTCGAGCACTGATAGGTTCATCTACCGACCTAGCCTCCTGGGTGAGGAGGATAGTTTGGCCTTCTGAAATCTGACGGACTTCGTCGGACGTCTTCCTCCTCGGAAGTGCGTGTCCCCCGACGGGGAGTATATCCGTGACGAATACAGGGAGATACGGACGGAGACCCGATGTATCAACACAAAGGCTCTGCTCGAGTGTCGGGCAAAGGTTGAGGCCCATCGGTTCCTAGGTAGTTGGGCGTCTCCCCGGCTGGTCTTAATATTCGTTTTTGAATTTTGATGCTAACTATTTTTCTTGTGCTCTTCTTGCAGGAACAATGGGCTCTGTGGAGGAACGTGTGACCAAGTTAATGAGCAGGGGTAGCCGTCGTCCTTAAGGTCGGGCTACCGCTGTTTGGAGGGAAGCAGTCGTTGGGCCCGCGGGAGCGACTTCATCCCCGCAAGGCAGCGGCTCCCCGGCGCAACCTCCGGTCCCCAAGAGGCGACGGGAAGCTGGAGTACCTTTAATTGATCTGACGGACGGGTCCCCAGAGCGGGGTTTCCTTCTACGCCCCTGTTGTCTCCGGCCGAATTACTTTTCTAGGGGAACATTCCCACGGTGGCTTTAGAGGAAGCGAGGAGTATCTTGTCCGCGATCAAGGAAGCCCGGAGGAAGATGTTGTCCGCGGATCTAGCCGCGGTGGTGAGGGCTTTTGAGACTGCCCTTGTGCTAAATGAGGATGGGTGCTCCTCAGAGGATTTGGCTGCTGTCAGGAGCGAGATTGCCGTATCCGAGGAGGTCCGATCTAAGCTGGCGGTCGACCAGAAGGAGTACCAACGGCAGGACAAGCTTCACAAGTAGCATATTAGGGAGCTGGAGAAGGCGTTGAAGGAAAGGGATGACGAGCTGACGGGAGTCAGAGGTCGTGTTACTGAGCTCGAGGGTATGATCGCCCCGGCCAAGGAGGAGTATGAAGAGGAGCGGTTGATGGTGTCTCGACGGGAGCTTGTGGGCAAGATCTGTCAGCTGGAGGAGAACTGCATGGGAGATGTCGAGGTGGGCTTCAAGAGTGTTGTCGACCAGCTTCGGCTCATCAACTCGGGCTTCGAGTTAGTGACCGGCGGGGTTGGTCCCTACCATCAGATCCAGGATGTCCATATCGTTGCGCCCGGCGGATCGAAGGATGAGGAAGAGGACCACACTGTCAAAGATGAGGAGGACCACCTAGATTAGGGATGGAGGCCTGCGTACCCCTTTTGATTTTGTTGTGCCAAGTTTTTTCTATCCTTGACTTTTGTTCGGGTCGTGGGCCTTTTATTGTAATATTTGATTGTCGGGCTTGTGCCAGTTTTTATGGAATTCATGTTTTCTTCTAAGTTTTTGTGTGTGCTCGGTTATGTATGCGTATTTTATACGCTTGTTCACTTTATATGCTTGTTCGTACGTTTATTACGCTCGTTTTGTATGTTTACTATGTTGTTGGGAGTGGTAGCTCGACATTTGTTGTGCCCGGTAGTGTAGGGAACTGGCCGATTGACCGGTGTGGTTACCCGGTCGGTTACGGAGATGGACCATGGTTGGGAACCTATCCCCGCAGCGTGAACGTCCCATCGCAAGCTGGGTGTTCTACCAATCTCGGTACTGCGGCGGTGACTCTCGGTCGAGGGATTGCCGTCGAACAGAGCGTTTTTCCCGCACACACAAAGGGAAGATGCTTGCTATCTCATTGATTTTGAGGAGGCACGAACGTACCATGTTGCGCTCCTGTGGTCGCGAGGCGTGCCATCACGGGCAGCGTTTAACTGTAGTATTTTTTAGCTTCTCAGTGTTCCATGGCGAGCTATTTCGTCCCTGTGTAAGTTCTCGAGGTAGTAGGCCCCGTGCTTTGTCTTGTCTCGGACACGGTAGGGGCCTTCCCAGTTGGCTGTGAGCTTGCCGTCACGCGAGTCTTTTGGGTTTCTCTATAAAACCAGATCGCTGATCTGGAATTCCCGCTTTATGACCCTGCAATCATAGCGGGGGGCAATTTTCTGCTTCAGTGCGGCTTCTCGGAGAGAAGCCCCTGAGCGTATCTCCTCAACTAAGTCGAGCTCATCTATGAGGCACTTGTCGTTGGCCTCCTCTTCGAGGGGGGATTCCGTTCTTCTGAACGGTTCCCTTATTTCGACTGAGATTACTGCCTCGGTTTTGTAGGTTAGCTGGAAAGATGTTTCCCCGGTGGTTGAATGGGGCGTCGTTCTGTACGCTCAAAGCATGTTGTGGAGCTCTTCGACCCATCTTTTCTTAGTGTCCTCGAGTCGGCGTTTCAGGCCTAGCAGAATGACTCTGTCTGCAGCCTCAGCCTGGCCGTTCGTTTGCGGGTGTTCGACTAACGTGAAGTGCTGCTTTGTCCCGTGCTTGGTTACAAAGTCTTAAAAGTTTTTGTCAGTGAATTGCGTACCATTGTCGGTCACGATGGCCATGGGCACACCGAACCTGGCGAGGATGTTCCTCTTGTAAAAGTGGAGTATGTTATGCACCGTGATTTTGGCGAGGGCCTCGACCTCAATCCATTTCGTGAAGTAGTCGACGCCGACTATCAGGTATTTATTCTGATAGGAGCCTAAGGTGAA